GATGAAGGTCCTTTAAGTGAGAGAACGTATCGAGAGTGGTTTCAATAGTTTGAAAACCGTGATTTAGACGTAGAAGACAAAGATCGCAGTGGAAGACAAAAATTTACGAGGATGCAGAATTGGTAGAATTATTGGAGGAAGATTCATCTCAAACACAAAAAGAGCTAGCTCTAACATTAGAAATCACTCAGCAAGCCATCTCACATCGTTTAAAATCATTAGGAATAATTCACAAACAAGGAAATTGGGTTCCGTTCTGTAAAGCCGAGAGATATTGAACGCCGATTATGCTTAAGTGAAATGCTGCTAGCTAGATATAAAAAAAGGTTTTTTTACATCGTATCGTAACTGGTGATGAGAAGTGGATACATTATGACAATGCAAGAAGAAGAAAATCATGGTGATTACCTGGCCACGCGTCAACATCAACAGCAAAACCGAATATTCACGGAAGAAAACTTATGCTGTATATTTTATTTGGTGGGAACAGCTAGGTGCAGTGCTATTATGAGTTGTTTAATCTGAGAGAAACAATTACTGAAGCCCTCTATTGAACACGTCTGATGAGATTGAGCCGAGCTCTGAAGGAAAAACGCCCTCAATACTATTTTAGACACGAATAATTATTCTTTTGCATGACAATGCTCGTCAACATGTTGCGGCTCCCGTGAAAAAGTTGCACATTGCACCGTTCGATTAACGTCTGTTCCGGTCCATATTTACAAAAAAAAAATAAAAATTTTATTATTCTTGATCTAAGTTATGTTATGTTCAGATACTTTCGTTACATCATTTAATATATATTTTTATTGAGGTAGGTAATTTGTTTAATTTTTAAACTATTATAACATATGTACATTCTCTATTTAACTGTTTTTAAGCTTCAAAAATTGATAATTCATTAGCTTTTCAATGATGTTAGTGAAAAATATGAATAAAACCACAAGTGCTTGGAGTAGAAAGCAACTTACGACTAGTTGTTAAATTTAATAAAAATTTTGGTATTTCATCTAATTTTCAGCTATTTTGTTAGCGAAAACGTTTTGGAATACTATCTTGTACAATATACCACTGTTATTTTTTACATGAGTTGCTTTTTAATTACTCTAGTACCAAGACATAAAAGGAAACCTAATACGTCTTAGTTTCACCATATTTAACTTCTGAGACTTTTTTGCAAATGGTGACACCATATTAATTAACATTCATAATTTCAAGAGTGTATCTATCATATAAATATGTAAGGACATTGTTAATCTTTAATTTCTATTCAAAAATTAATGTGTATTTATAAAAATATACTAACCAAACTTAATGACATTTCATGAAAGCCATATAGGAATAATTTCCATAAATATAAATAGATATCTATAATGAAACATAATTATGTTCTATTCATTTTTCAAACAATAAATATACTCGATGCGACCACAAGGGCCAAATTTATATATACATATTATGTCTTCTGATAAACGTTACTCGTCATGAAAGCTATTGTTGATTTCAATAAAAATAAAATTGTTATTAGAATTACCTTTCGAAGTGAAATCTCACCTGTTATTCTTAGAAAATATAATGAGTGGTTGAATGAAGGTATGAAAGTACTAGAATGCTAGTCCTTTATTTGCATTTAGTTCAATACTATTGTTCCTTGCGGATCGAAATAGAAACAGGTCTTCAAAGAAATTAGTATTTTCAAGGGTTTGTTTCATTGTATTACATTTTACCTTATAATATTATTTTGACCTAATTTTTTTATTATTAGGTGTATAAATATCCTATATTAATAAGTAAGATAGTTCTCAAACATAAAATTGTTTAAAAATAAAACAAGTACCTATTTAAAAGAACTAAATTCAGTATTCTTTCAATGGCTTCTGTAAGCTTTAATTTTGTAAGTTATAGTAACATGAGACGAAACTTCTCAGCATTCCATGGATTCACCGTGCGGGTGCAGAGTCCATCGCGTTGCAGGGAGAGGAGCTTCAATATATTATATTCTTTCATAAGTAAAATTACTACAGTTACTACAGTTCGTCTATCAATCGATCTATCACTTCAACCACTAAATAAATAACATTTAAACAAATATACATGTATATTAATGAATTTTATTTTATATCGTCTTTAATTATAATTTTCCCCCTCTCTTAAAAAGTTGACCATAAACATTGATATAAATACTTTAATTTGAAACAGAAGCATAAAAATGCATGGACAAAATCACTGAAAGAATGAAAAATAATAGGAAATAAATCGGTCGTAGCTTATAAATTTAATTTTTATTATTTATTCAATTATTCGAAGTTTCAAAGAGATGATTTATTTTTATTGCACTATTATTGGAAACTTATCATACCTTTCAATTTTGATTAAAATGAACACCTATAATATACCAAAAAAAAAGGTTACATTTGTAATAATTTTATATAATATATATTATACTCAGAAATCACAAATTTAATATAACATTTTAAAATTACTTTGTACTGAAAAGGTGTTAGACGATACATTGCTTTCAAATAGGCACCGCTGTATCGGTCGGAGGGGGGGGGGTGTGTGTGTGTGTGTGTGTGTGTGTGTGTGTGTGTTGTGTTAGGTTTATTTTCGTTCCGAAATTTCTTGATTCGGTCGCCACGCTCAAAACCCGCGATAAAAGCTATGCAATAGCGTCAGATGAATCAAATTCTCGAAATGTTATATATACTTATAAAAATTATTCGACCTGCGTAGTAAATAATCACTTACTTGTATAACTATACTTGTATAACTATTTGTACATATTACAAAGTTAAACAAAACTGTAAGTAAACATATTCATATACGGATACTCAAAAACTGGCAAAAGTAAGTTAAAGTAATCAAAACAACATCTTTAAGGTCGTAGAGCCTAGCTGTAGTAAGTAACTACAGCTCGAACATAATCTGGATTGACAGGGAAAGTACCACTCTCTCGCAGAAGATCAGCGTGATGTTATCTTTTATGGCTGCGATTCGTCCAACGAGTGAGAAAACTCGTTGCCCCTTCTCTGCTCCCACCTTTTCCTCCATCCTCAATAATCCAGGTCGGTGACGCATCCACAACATCTCTTACGTTGCAGAAGTCCATGGGAGACAGCGACTACCTTCCATCAAGCAGGCCTTCTGATAGACTGCCACCTTTCACATAAAAAAAATACTGAACAAAGAAAGCAAAGCAAATACGGTGCTATGAAAAATTTTAAAGATTACATAACTGATCTCTTCATATATGTATTTTCGTATTATATTGTTTTGTACGTATATATGTATATGTTGATATCTATTTATTTATGTATATATGTGTATGTATGTTTATTTATATAAATATTATTTTTTAATGTATGCAAGTATAGAAACAGAAGTCTGCACTGAATCGCCCGCTGCATGACTCTTATCACTCACCTCCATAGGTTGACTGGAAGAGATCTCTTTTAGAGATAAGTCCGCCTTTTTGTATGTTTTTTTTCTATTATGTTATTTTCTGTCTTGTTTTAGTGCAATAAAGGATATATAAGTCCGACAACGTCGTCTGCCCTCAAGTGTCTGCCGATTCAAGTAAGCATAGTTAATCTTCCCTATTCCCTGCTTCCCGCGTCCCTCGCACTACGCGCCAGTAGCGCTGCACATGATGTCTATGTCTATGTTCAGGGCTACCAAACCAAAACTCATCCAAATCGGTTTAGCGGTTTGTACGTGAAGAGGTAGCAGACCAATATATCAAGATAAAGTGATAGCTCTTGAAAGCAATTAAATTTCTTTCAAAATTTAATTAAAACGTTACTTACGGTAGTTTCAGACATCAAAGTGTAGAATGTGACGTTCGAAGTTTCACCTTCAGTTTATTAAAACTTGGAGGAATGTTAGAAGTTATATTCCTAAACAGGTAAATTTTGAAGGTTTGTTATTATTTCTTAAATACTTATTATATATAACTTTATAAGAACCTCTTATAAAATGTGGGAATTTTCTTGGAATTAAAATACAGATGTAAATAGTAAAAAAATGTATTATAAATAAAAATATATATTGTACTCGTGACAACGGAAAATGTAATTTATATTGTTTTATTAGTAAATAACTTATTTAAAACAATATTTTTTTACATTATTAAACTTTCTGTTTGGACATACATTTTTAATATTAAACTCTCAAAAATAAAATACATTTAATTGGCTAACATGTTATTTCGTATACAAAAGAATTTTAAAACTAAATCTATTTTGAGAATAATCACGCCTACAGCGTCTGGTACGTAAATACTAATGGCGGTTGGTAACTTTGTAAATTTAACTAAAATTGGCTAATATACCTAAATAACCTAAGTAAAATGTCTTTAAAATACATATATCTTTGTTTCTTTGTTTAGAATGTTACAAAATTAATAATTTGTACTTGAATACTGTTCATATTGTTAAAATAATAGCTTTTTTAATAATATTAATTACTAAATTTAATTTAAAATATAAGTGATTACGTAATATGTAGTAAAAATTATCACAATCATTTATCTTATAAAAATGTAAACGTGTTTAGTTTGAAGGGAAGCTGTATTGTGAAGAGACGAAAAAAAAAAGTTCTTTGTATTAATAAGAGATCTACGTATGAAACTATTGACTAGCGATATTTGTAATAAGATAGTTCATTAAAACTACGGAATCCCATTTTCTGAGACTTGGTTCCTTTGAAGTATCATCTTTGTTATTTCGTGCGACTTTAATAATGACTAACGAAATATAAAACGTTTATTTATTAATACTTTATACTTACTGCGTTAATTTAAAATTATTTCATTTATTATTAACTAAAAGATATACATGATACTACACTAGAATCAACATTTAGTATAAAATCTGATGTACAGATAGATGGTTCATAAATTATTTTGTCAGATAAATTATATTATACTTATATAAATATGTACAAGTTATTCTATGTGATTGCACCCTTGTTACCATGTGTTAAATGATAGTATGTTTATCCTAAGTGGGTGCTTCTTCTATTTGGTCGAGTATTGTCTTCTTAACTTGAGTCCTGTTTAGTAAAAAGTCTAAATCGTTGGATATTTTATTTAACACTCTATCCGTTTCTGGTGAGTCGTACGCTCTATTCCACTCTCTATTCACTTGGTCTATGTCAGACTTAATCTTTGGTTCTTCTTTTAATTCCATCGAAGGTAGTGAAATACTTGAAGTGAAGTCATCCTTGGGTTTTTTAAGACAACTTTTTATAGGTGGGGACGTGATTTTGGATACATCAGGGTTGGACTGTACGCAGATGCTGCACGCGTCTTTAGAAGTGTCAATCTGTCTCCCTGTGTAAGGTTCAAAGTCGACTGAGCAGGCAAGAAGGGGTGCAATTGGTTCTGAGGGTGGGTTTTTTAGGACTCGAAGCTCAAGACACACGCGATCCATGTACTCGGGCCGGTGGGGTGCGGTATGCGGAATGAGGTCGCAAACAGCATGTGTGGTGCCCACGTGAGCATCATATCGCTGCGGACTCAGGAGTGCGTCCTTATATTCCACACATCGGACTATATCTGCGCGGCTGTCTGGCGTCGACTGTATCCTGAGCATATCATGGAACTTAAATGAGATGTTAGATATTTTTAAAATTCATTAGGTACAAAATCAACTCTCTAGCAACTATATTTCGGATACATTTTCTCGATGACAAGAAAGTTAAGTTGTTAATGTTAAGTTTAATTGTTTAATGCATTAATTTTTTCCTGCCAAGAAGCATGTTTAGAATAAAATTAATAAATGCATAACATAGGTATTTACAATATTAATATCTTGTAATGAACTGAACCTACTTTAAAGGAAATGATGCTTCTGCGAAAAGCTTCTACTTTATCTACCTGTTAAGCCTCGCCGGGCTCTCAAGCCCCGGAGCTCGCCAGTATGACGTCACTGGCGAGACGGGCGATGAAGTGGTTTCCAACATACCCACTCCTCCCCGGCTCTCTACTTCACCGCCTTGTTTTATATATACTACAAATTAAATACCCCAATGATTCCAAACAATTTTAAGACACCCATGAAGCTTACTTTAAACATACATGTAAATAAATATATCTATAATCTTCGTAGTTTTATGTAAACTTATCGTTTTACATTTTACCCGACTTTTTTTTACAGTACGTATGATTACTGGCAGACGAAAAGAACAAATGCAAAGTAATCGAAACGTCGGGAAATACAAAACATTAAAATCAAAAAGAGAAATCAAAATTTTATGGTTTTATTTGTTTGTATACTTGTAATAGTTATGTATGTATATTTTTCTCAAAACTAACACGAGGCTATTCAATAAATATTAAAGAAGAAGTAAAATACAACTTACAACTAAGTGATGTGTCTCCCGCTGGGGACTCTTGCCATTCGCGATGGGAGGGTAGTGATAGTACTCTCTTTGCTGATTGTAAGCACTCTTCATCCCATATCACGTAGCAGATCAGCATTGTTACACCCTGGCATCATTATATATTAAAATATATATTTTTTCATTTATTAACATAAGAACTTACTCATAAAAAAATATATGTACATGTAACATATCTAACCTTTCCATACGTTAATTATTGCCTTTTCAAATTACCTTGATAGGACTCTTTTACAAATAAATTAAAATAATGAAGTGTGTATGATAGTTGATTCTAATAAAATGATTTTAATTTTTTAATAGTTTTGATTTCGTCTCTATTTTTTTAGCATATCAGTGGAAAAGGAATAAAATTGTAATACATGTAAAATATTTAAAGTTAAATCTAGACTTACATTAAGAAGAGCGGCTATAGAGAGTGTTAAAACGAGAGCAAGTGTCCGAGGTCCCGGTTGTGCCCACCAAACACCGGCCGCTTGCGCTGCGCTGGTCGTCACTAACACCGCAATTGTATGTCGTACAACACGCCGCCTAACATGGGTGTGATATTAATAAGAATAGGAAGTTTTAGCAATTAATTGTATTAAAAAAAATAAGATATATAAATAAGAATAAAAGAAGTATTACCGATCTCTCAAATATGTCCGCCTTTCGACTGGAACTTTGTGCGTTATAGTCCTCAATCTTACAGCAGCACAAATTGCTAGAGCGAAACACAACACGGCTAGCAGCGTGCAACCAGCAGCGCATACGGCCTGCGCTGCCGCTCCAATCTGGAGAGGAGCCCCGCCCCAAAGACGCGCAGTCAACCAAGCAAGGGTGCATACACCTACATAGAACAAAGGAGAAATTTGCTAGTAGCAGCAGAAAATTTACTCCCTTATGTTAAATAGTCGTAAAGACTACTAAAAAAAAAGATAAACAACCACGAGCAAAGTGAAATGGAGGGATAGGTTTCGTAACGTAGTGTTAAATTCATATTATTTGATTATCAATACATAATACATTCGTGGCATATTCTTTCATAATGGTATAGATTTGTTTTAGATGTTTTTACATTTGAACATACATATATTATTTTTAAGGTAAATGTAATAAATTTCTTCGTTAGTGGGTTGGTTGGTTTTCATAGTTTTTTTAATAAATATATTATCTTAAACAAATGGCACAGGGTTCATAACTGTCCGGACGACCAAGCTTTTGAAATTCTGATTAAATAGTTTCAAATAATGTATTTATTTCAAATGTACATAGAAAATTATATTGGTCATTTTATAAGTTATTAGTGACAATAAAATACCTAACAATAATTTTACCTGCAAGAAGTGCAACAGAAGGAGCGTTCTGTCGCCGACCTGCTAGCTCTGCTTGAAGTAGCAGTGGCTGTGCACACAATGCCGCGCAACCAGCGCACCAACACGCTGCGCATACCCACCCTAAGGCTCCAGGACAAGCCTCCTCCTAAATAACATTATAATTTGTAATATAAGCAGTTTTTGTGCAACCCGGTTGAATAGTTAATAAAGTAAATTTATTACCTGTCTGGTATCACATTCTAGCAGTGTAAGTACAGCTGCTGAATGGGTGCCCGCGGTGACAGCTCGCAACAAGACGGGCAGCCGTGCTCGTTTTCCAGGTAAAAGACTAAGAAGCTGCAATGCTGCAGCCACCAGGCTCATCGTACCGCTCAATCCTACTGTGATCTTTACAATTCCGCGTAGGTCTTTTTCCGTGTCTGACTATAGAATAACCACTTTAAATTTTTACAACAGAGATATGAATAGAATTGATCAGTTGAATTACTATTTGTTATACTTTATGAATATTATTTTAATTACATATCTTCTGCTTTAGTATTTTTATAAGAAGTAACATTAAAAAAAAAGTATCGATTGAAGCTTCAATATAATATCAGTAGTAAAACATCTTCTTTTAAATTACAAGAGTATTTAAATATAAAATTTTACAAGAAATATGAATGATTTTCATTAATTAAAACTCACAAGGGTAGACCTGGCGATAGTGAACAAAGCAAAGGTGCCAAGACCTCGACACCGACAGGCCACGTGTGTTGGCTCCGGTACACGAACCTCACAAGTCTTCGTGATCCAGACACGCGGCTCTGATGGGGTTCTTAATGCGCAGGCTAATTTGGATGCTAATAAGATTTTTTTAATATATAATCAAATGTAATTTAAAACTAGATAGATGTAGAATTAATTATATTTTTAATATTATTGATTAAATCTAGATTTAGATATTTTTCTTACCTATGGCTGAATAATTTTTTGAATGCACAAACAGCAACGTGGTGGAATGACCAGTGTGAGCATACCCTGGCGCGTGAAGTTGTATTTGTGCGGACGCCAGCTCGTACTCCACCTCTCTCCCACCCCTAGAAGACGATGAGCTACACACGTGGATTGTGTGGATAAGCAATCATAAATATATGTGCAACAAAATAAAAATAAAACAAAAGAGAACTGAGATTAAAACAAAAAGTAATGTTTTAATGGTCATAGAAGGAAAAAATATTCCTGTTATATATAAAAAAGCATAGAAGTTTTTAATATAAACATACTTGAATTCAATAGATCTTCTCAATGATGGCAGTCGTGCAGCTAAGTTTCGATACCGTACAACGACCACTGACGTATTTCCATTTCGTCCAACCAGTTCTACACCAGCTGATGTTAGTAACCATTCTTCAGATCCTAGGATTGGCGTGAAACCAAAGTGAGCAGCGCCATCCTCTCTAGCTTGCTTGGTATTTATGGAAAACTCCTTATAAACGGAATCTAAGTTGTCACGCATTCCTGCTGTTTCAACTATAGCATTTTGAAGATCGTATATTTTCTGAAAATTTTAATTAACTTCAGTTCAGCACAAAATTTATATAATATACAATATAAGATTAATGCTTACTTCTTCATCTAAAAAAGTGTCAGGATGCTTTAGTAAGGTATCATATATAATGAGTAGATGGTTCACACTTTCCCTTCTATCTTTCAATTTACCAGCATTGGAAAGGAGATAGTTAAGCATATTCTTAGCATGTTTTAAAGGAATAGTTCCCTCTCCAGGTTGTGCAGGAAGTGAACGAAGAACTGCTCCGTATTGATGTGCCACATGAGAAACATTAGCCCAGGAATAGCCGTAATAAATTTTAGTAAACTGAAATGTAAACATAAGAATAATACACGTCTATATTATACTGAAATAATATTTATTATTTTTAAATGCTTTATATCCTAGCGCAATCATTGACTTAAAAATCGCACATATTTGTAAAGTAGTCGAAACGTCGGGAGTATGTAGTATATAATCAAAAATAAAAATCGCGTAGTACATCCGAAAAATATTAATTTAATTTAAATCCCATATATTTTTAAACCTATTATACCTGCTCATATATGTCGTTTAAGGAATCCGCAATACAACCAGAAAAATCCGGTATGACCCATTTCACACCGTGTTGGGTAGTTTTAGGTTCGCAGAATCTAAAACAATTGTAACATCCTTATAATTAAAAAATGTTGAAATAAAAAGAATATGTAAAAACACTGTTATTATTTTAGAATGGAATATTAGTTTTAATTTCATTTAATCCAGCGTAGAAAACGAGTTGTATTTATAAATTGCATAGAAGCTTACTTAACTGTCCCGTATTGTTATGATAAATCAAACGTATTTAAAAAAATTTGAGAATAAATTCGTTTGATAATAAATGTCTATCCATTTTTTTAAATCTTTTGAGAAGAAAAAAGTTTATTCAGTTATTCGTATACCTAATTGATTCCCCTGTATGTCCAGGTGGGCAGGTTGCGGCTGCATGAGCTCCTGGTGCAGTTTTAGGCCATCGCAGACCGTGGGATGCTTCACTTGGACACGCATCGTCTTTAGAACCGAGAGTCCACATTGTTACGGCTTTAGTATTCGTACCCGCTACTGACGATACTTGACAACGGAATTCTCCAGATTTCTTAAGAGCAAATATGCAATTGTTTTGCTTAATATACAAAATAATGAATAACAACAAAAACTCAAGAGCAGTTTTACTTAATACTTTAATTGATCCCAAAACAGTAAGTATAAATGTAAAAAATTAAGTAGATTTATAATTATAATAATAATATCAGAATAATAATGTAGTACAAATAGCAAAGGCTTTTTTAATTTTATATAATAATTACTGAATCTAAATACATATGTATGTATGTAGTATGTCTGTAGTAATATGAATCAAAAATGGAAAGATGTTACAATAATGATTTGCAATACAGTTTGAAATTTTCTATTATACCTGTACATTATATAGCTTAAGTACACTTCCCGCAGGGTAAAGATCTTCCCAGACTTCGCGACCGGGCGCCTGTGGCAACAGAGATCGTTCTCGGGCCCAACTAAATCCCAATACGCCGTGTACACGACCCGCACCGGCAAGACATGTGATGCTTACATTATCTCCCTAGGTAGTTATACAAACGATATATTATAGATAAAAAATATTCAATTACAACAATTTAAACTGATGTTGTTTGATAAAATTTATTGTTGCAAAAATATTTGAGGCAACATGTTTTTATAATAAAAATGTAACATAAAAATGTTTAAAATGAGAACAAAAAAATGCACTAGTAGGATATTAACTTAGATTACCTTGTTAACAGTTAACATGGAAGGCACTAGTCTTATATCGGGAGGACGTAGAATAGACAGTCTCAACGCACTGCACCGTCTTCTCCCAGCATCATCAGCGGAACAAGACCATCGACCACTATCAGGCTTCTTAGCTTCAGAAATACCCAAAACTGACATACGCCTTCCTAACGCATCTTCAGCTACTGTGCGAGTCCAGATATCTCTAAAATAAAAAATAAAACATAAGATTTTTTTTTTTAATTAGGAGTAGAAGTAAAAATCTCCTTTTGCTTAGGCCATCATAATGCTATGGAAAATAAATGTATTATTTGAAATTTCTTAGGGAAGTTTTTATTTTACTAACATACATATTTCTCTTATTAAACAAAGCACATACTGGGTTCTTCGGTCAGGATTGAATAAATAATCAACATTTCTGGCATTACTCTTACCTGGTAGTTCCATTAAAGTTTATTTTAACCCCATCTTTATACCAAGTAAATGTTATGTCAGGGGACCCATACGCCATGCAGCTCAATATAAATTCAGATCCTTCCCACACTTCCTGACGCTGGTTAACGATCAGTGCCTGTAATAAAATCGTAAATTTGACGTAGAAATTGCCATGAAATGTTGGAAAATATAGTAACGTTTTACTACGTAATCAATTTTTTATGGCTTAATCCAATGTTATACACGACAAGATTTTTATGAGATTCTTATTACAGTTCGGATTCATTTGGAAACTTTCGTTTTAGTTTTATTGAATTCTTTTGCAAAAATTTGCTTTTACTCGAGATAACATTTGCAAATTTCCCACTCAAAATTGTTAATGAAATTTATATATAACAATATGGAGTTTTAATATTATACAATAAGAAGCTGTAGATTTCGTTACAATTTAGTCTAAATTCTCGCTGGATTTTACTAAAGCGTTAATTTAGGATTTTGAATGCGGGATGGAAACGCGCCAACTTTTTAATGTCTTTATATGTTTTAATTAGGAAACGGTTACATGATTTGTGATTTATTAATAAAAAACTCTTTTTTTTTTAAGTAATGGCAAAATGAAATAAAAATATAAATTTAAACAATTTTTGTTGTTTAATAAAAATTGTGCTGGCCTTATATAAATTAAATTAACCAATATTAGTTTAGAAAATAAATAATAATACCTTCATTTGTTAATTTATATGGATTATTTAAATTTATTTAACTGAAAAAAAGCTTTCAGTTTGTTTCATAAAGTGAGAAAGCTTGATGAATATTTTTAGTCTGACTTAAAAACTTACGGTCCGAAAAAGGTAGGAAAAGGAGATGTTATATGACCAGTTGACTTGTCACATTCCGTTTTTATTTCAGACTTTACGATCATAAACATGTGTTTCACACCGTATGAAGGTTATACAGTATAGTCAAATTACTAGTGCAGACATGTCATGGGTCTCAACTCTAGAGCGTGTCCGAACTTTAATAATGTATCTCGCAAATATTTAGAATACATTCATAGGTCATAATTTTATATACGCGTACAAGTTTTTTTTAAATAAACTTACGTGTAAACTAAGAGCAGGTTGCATATCAAAATGCAGCATAGCAGGCAGTAAGCGCAGCCTGTCAGTGCGTGTGCGAGTAGCAGCTAGACGTGCGAGAGCAGTCCTTAACGCTCCTGCATCTCGCCGTTCCGCCCATACACGAAGCCACACTGTACGTGCACCCATCGCGTCAGGGGCACTTGGTTATAAAAAATACAAGAATAAAAGGAAATCTAGATTCTGCAAAATTCTACAAATTTTATAATGATGGTATGGAGAAAGTATTTTGTCCTACCTTATTAGTGTCGAAATGAAGAAGACGATGAACACATTTCTTTTGTTATTTGTACGGTACAAACTAGCGATAAATAAAATTATTTTTCTAAATATTTCTAGTGTTAAGACAAATAATAAAAAAATATACATATGTATATATTTATATGTCGGTTATATTCTTATATACGTATTGATAAGAATATAACATTCAAAATATTAAAAGGAATCAGAAATTAATAATCTTTTTTTATTAAAGGAAACTTTAATATAGGTACAGTTGATAGGGTTAATAATTAAGTTTTTAAGAGTAGACAATAGGACCTTAAAGCAGTAACTAATAGAAATATATAAAATAAATAAAAATAATACCCGTATTTCAATTAAACATTATTTAAACAAAATTAAATTTAATATAAAATTGTTAAATTTGTTCACATTTTATAAGTAAATAAAATGAGAGAAACTTACCTAATGTTTAAGACTTCAATTTCATCGTGTAAAGTTATATTGGAAGCTCTTAAGTAGTTAGTCATCTGAAACTCAAACAAAATATTAAAGTTACTCTGAATTTTGGTAACAGACACATAAATTTTTATTAATCCTCTAGCATTTATTACCTGTTTAATAATTTCTTGAGATATGTTTATACTTCCTTGGTCCACTATTTGCAGCCTTGTTTCAAAACGAGCAGAAGCTGATGAAAAACAAGAATTGTTTTTTTGTATGAATCATTGTCAGAATTCATAAAAATATGAATGGGTAAACTTACAGACGTCAGTATCTTTGGGATTGCAATCACAGGCGCCTGTCGTGCACCCTTCAGCACATTCTTCTATGCCACATTCTGTTAAAAACAGTTAATTTATAATATTGTATTAATGTTCGTATGCCTAGAAGGAAGACTATTAGCAAAACAAGATTGTAATTATTTAAATAGATTTACATTTGTATGTTACAAATGAGAAAAATCTGGTACCAAAAAATTAAACCTAAAGACAAAAATGTGCCCTTTTAGTTTAAAAAAGGTTATATCAGATTTTTGGTAGAAAAACAGCTTTGTTTACAGGAGTCTTCTGTTCAGAACTGCTCATTCGTTGACATTAATGGCTCCTAAAAACGAGAGGAATGGAAATGGTCCGGAGAATGAGTATGCTATCTGACGGGGTCATTTAACTAAAGTTATCGAGTTAGACGGCTTTCAGTAGCTTTTGGACCCCAAGCTATGAGAAACTACATGTTATATAATTTCATGGATATTTTGAGGACAAAGGGCGCTATTGTTGGGTGAAATTAAATAACTGCTAAATATTTATATGAAAACAATATTTTTGTTATACGGTACAATTAGGAATAATAATTCAATAAATACATGTATGTTTCATTTATTTTTAATCTAAGTTTTTTACGATTAGAAGTGTTTATATATATACCATGCACAACAGCCTAAAAATGTTTTCATTTTTATTGTATTCACTTTGGTTTTGACTGAAAATTGAGATTTAATTCAGTGAACTACTTTTGAAATATATTTTGCTTTATTTAGGAAATTATACACTACATTAACACAAAAATGTAAGATTTCCGGTCATGTATTTAGTCGTTGTATGAAATTATCTCCATTATGTTATTTAACCAAGGGTATCATTTGAATAAGTAATTTGATGTCAGAAATTAACAACGTCCACGTAGCTACTTTTTTATTGTGGTGTAATTCAATCCTTCCGATATTTTTATTGATTTTATGAAAGTTCACAACTTTTCGATAAGTTTTCATAGATGGTTTTATAGATTACTAAATTTTGTTATAAAAACATGAATTTAAAATATATAAGCTTTAAAAAATAAAAGCCTTTGAATACATTAAAGTATAAATATATTGTATGTATATTTATCGCTCACTATCGACTCGAGGCGTTTTTAAGATTAAAGAGATTTAAGTTCCCGTATTTACTTTGCTAAAATAAGAAAGAGTTAAAATGAATTACATAAATTTCTACTATCAATCTAGATTGACTAAATTTTTTGCCACAATATCCGATAACTGTTTAAAAAAACTAGAGCTATCTTGATCTTTTGATGACGAAAGTTTCTTTAGGTCTTATCAACTTACCAGGTGCTTCGATCTGAGACTCGCAAAGATCCCCCGTGAAACCCGGCGCGCAGATGCAGCTTACTGCAGCTGGACCCATTTGACTACAACAATTATAATAAAATATATACTATATATAATAGAATTTAGATAATTATTTATTAATATCGATGGCACAACTACTTGAATTATATAATTACAACCAGTAGAATGAATGTTTAAGTTTTAAGTGTTAAGAGCTCGTTAAATTTAATTATTATGTGTATTAGAACACTATCTGAATACGTATTGAAGTGTCAACCTACCGCATATAAACAATAAAGGCTGCAGTCGATTAGAGTAAGTCGTTTTTTTCTTCTCTATTTAATTACACTGTCACGCATCCAATCATGGATATGAGGATGGCCTCAAAATAATCGACTGGAGGGCACATCATAAGTAGTATCGGAAGTAAATCAACTCCGGAACTCGCATGATAGATAAAAATAAAAGAACCAGAAAAAGGAGAATATATAATATGATTTTGCGCAGCTACTTTCAGATTTTCATAACGAAATAATGTTTTTTTTTTTGCGACAACTTATAATGACAAAAATATTCCCACACGGATGCACTAAGAAACAAAACACGTAGAGGGCGAAATAAAAAGTTTCATCGTCATAATCATCTCCACTATATTTTACTAAAATGATAATGAATCCAAATCAAGTATCTTAGATTTACAAACCGATCCTGTACATGAAAAACGTGTGACCGCTTAAAAAACCCTATTTAATATGTGTAATTTGTAGTTAGTTCTATACGCATATTCATTCATAGTATTTTAGGTTTTTTATTAATTACCCCAATTACTTTTGTTTGAATTATATTCAGATATTTAGTTTTTATTATTATACGGTACATATAGTCTTAACTTTAAGTAGTAAAACAGAATCATAACATATACATATAAACAGAATGTAATCTTGACCATTGTTCGATATGCGAACCATTTATAAGGTGTTCCATATTTAGGGCATAATTCCTAGGTTATCAGATTGTATGGAAATTGATGCCATTATCACAGAGTTGGGAGCACTTCACGCAAATGCATTACGTTGTGCAAACTGTTTCCAAGCGTTTCAAATTATGCAACCAGTTCTTTTGCAATGCTTTCGTTTTTTATAGACTATTCTATTTTATTAATATCGAGTTCACCAGGCAAAAACACTTTTACTCGTAAAACTATAAAATTTTTAAGACAAATTTGGGTTTTATTATAGCATTGTTTATTATATAAGTACATAAGTACATCCCTAATTATTTTATATTTATTTGTGAGGATTATTACATCATACCCCGAACCTACTGTCAACCTTATCTGCATACATTTTCTATACTATTGATATCTTGATTTGAATATCCTATGTTATAATAATAATATTATAACAATAACTTCAGACGACAGATGTGGTTCTAGAAATAAGACTAGTGATTCTATAATGAATAACAGATGATAAAACTAAACTAAGCTGTAGCGTAACAAGAACTGTGGCAAGACACAAGACTTACACCTGTGAGACTTTTATTAAAAAAGGGGACGGATAAATAAAATTACCCACACTAAGTAATATGAGACATTTCTTGAAATTCATTTCTTTGATAAAACATGGAAAATTAAGAGTAAAATTAAATAACCAACACACCGAGAAATATTTTAAATTACGGTTTGGAATTGGGATCAGAAAAGGTTTGTTTAAAGTGCAAGTTTTGATGAAAATTCTTGAGGTAGGGCATTTTACAACCCTTTAACACGAAAAAAATCATAATGAATATGCACAAAACTTAATTCATAGTAATCACATAGAAATCAGAATCATACTAGCAACCCAATCATTATAGTGAACAAAGTAACTTCATGGGCGGGCAAATAAATATTCGTATCTAGCCACAGTAGGACAATAATCATGAAATAAAAAATTCTCTGACAATGGTACATGAAGCCTTACATGCGATAAGTCATAAACACTACTCAGGCTCAGGTACATTACAGGCTTATAATGGTATACAAATTTTTCCAGAGGTCCACTTTAAATTAAATAATTTTTATTTACATAATGTTAAAAGTTTTAGAAAAATATTTAATACAAATAGAACTATTTGAACCCAAAAATCGCAGTTTAATATTTTGTAAGCTTTATAAATCGCCACTGAAAGAAATATATTTATCTTTTTGGCAGCCACGACGCCGTAGGCAGACACAGGATACTTTCATGCCAAAACCTACTTAAACTTATGAGCTCCTTCTGTTTGCCGCTTAAAAGAGACTGTTTGTTACAATATTCACAGTTAAGAATAGAAATTATAAAATATGCTGTTTGCATCTACATAACATTTTTACAAATCAGCCTCAGGCAAAACGGAGAAAGGCAGTACAATATTAATGGAAGCACGCCTTGAATAATGTGAATTTAACTTGTAACGAGCGAAAGTTTCACAACAAATATCGAGAAAAATTCCATCGTTGACACTAACTCGTTATTCTGAGGAAATTGCGAGGACTTAGGATATGACCCGGTTTCAGATGGATTGTGAAAACTATAAACGATCGTGAAAAACTTTTAAAAGAATACAGAAACAATGGGCCTTCTAATCGACCGTGATGTGAATAGCGAAATTATGAATGAAAAGTCTAACCAGTTGATAATGATATACTCTTTAATGAAATAAGCGATAGTTTTTTGCAATAAAACTTGATTTCTAAACGTAGTTGAAGCTGATGCAAAAAAATTATATTACTTTTTTACTACGTGAAATATTAAATTTCACTTTACTCACCTTACATTCTGGTGCCGTTAAATATTAATTAAATGAAAACCGGTAAAAGCGTTCCTATTTATTATGAACAAAGGAATAATAAATTGAATTTTGGCAAAAAAATCTATTTACTTTATTAAACACCTTTTACTTAAAAGGGTTAGGGATTGACATGGGTCATTCTTACCCGCAGGTGCCTCCATTTTTGCACATGTTAGGGGTCTTCGGACATAAAGGCCCAACTCCGCAATCGGCTCCCGAGTAACCCTCAAAACAATCGCAGTAGAACTCCCTGTGATTTAAAAATATTGACGTTTAATATGTGTGAGAAAATTAAATAAATCTTGTAATGTAAATACAACAGTCAAATATTGTACATGCAATATTTTTTTTTTATTAGTACCTGCTTTGATTAGAAGATAGAATAGATACTACATAGGTTTTCAAATAAATGACAAATACAACTCAGTTTTTTGTTTACATACAAAATATAATTCATAATATTGTGAAAAAATATGTTGAGGATTAACCATATAATACGTAATTGAACGTGCTTATTTAAAAATATAATGTTCCTCGGCATGTAAGAATTTTTTTATTTTTAATATACATAAAGTTTTAATAAGCCTGTCTGCAAATTATGCAGTGATCTTGGTTGATATGATTTATGACAATGTTAATTTTTTATACTATATTGAAATCCATACGAGAAGCAAGGTCGTTTGTATAACTACTTTAACACACAATGTTGTTCATAATGATCAAGGCGTATTTTATAACATTGAACTTCTCCACCTCGGAGCGTTTCGTGCAGAGGTGTTATGTAGTACCAACCACAGTTTTCAAGCTCAGTATCGGTCCTCATTTTACATATCAATTAGATTCTTAAACAAAGTTGAAAACTATTTTCCTACACTTGGCCGGTAAATTTCTAAACTTAATTCAGTGTCACACAAAATAACAGAGGTGTTTAAATAAAGAATATCATCTCTGTTTTAAATAACAATATTTATAAACAATAATGAGCTATATTAATTATTATATTCACATTCTGTACTATTTTTTTTAATGTCAAATGTGTCCAATTAAATATTAGGAAGTTTCAACAGCAATCATTCTATTATGTATAGTAGAACTATAGAAAAAGTTGTTATGTATACATTTTTAAGCGTAACTCAATATTGAATTCTCTATATGATTTAAAAACTGACAACACCATAAAGAAATATCTAATATCTGATTTTAAATAAAACTTGATAAATACTGTTTTTGTTTTCGTATTTGATTTTATTTTGGTTTAAATAAAATTAAAAGATATTTTATGATTTTACTTTTTATAATAGTAAAGAAATAGCATTAAAGGATTTTTATTTCAATTGCAACGAAAGAAGAAAAGAAAAAAAAGAGTAAATTTAGTCTAATGGGATTTGGAGCTTTTAACCTTTGAAATATGTATTAACCTACAATCTCTCTAATACAATACGTATAAAACCAGATTTTTCTAATATAATTTTCTGATTCACTTGATCACGATTATGACCGTAATTTTCAGAGAGAAACTTTTTTTTAACTTTAAAAGAAAGTAATATTAACTTACTTGTAATCATATCTAGCATAACAGTGTCCAAGAAGACGACATTCTATTGTACTGCAGGCCTTTGGACCAGGTTCGTCATTGGGTCCTTTGACCATGTAGGTCATATTGAACCCAAAAACTGAGAGAAGACCCAGAGCTCTCAGCTGCGTACCTTCTAGTCTATTCAGGGTAAGCTCGACGACGAGAACTGGGCTTTGCACCTGGTGAATAATAAGTTCCTGTTAGTTATAGATTTACACATACTCAAAAATGTTTTATGCATTTTGTAGTTATATAATGAATGTCTGTTTTTATTTCACAATCTTATGTATCACCTTTTTTAACATCAATCCCCTTTTTTTATAGATTAATTGTAAGGTATAATTACTTGGTTCTATTAAAGACAAAGTGTTGTAAATTAGAAACTTGCTCGCAATTTATGTCGATGTTACAGCATCTGTTGTAAATTATTTGGCAAATATAATTAATATCACTTTTAATTTGTGACTGTCATATAATAAATGAAACACAATGTTTACAACGGAGCTCATACAAAAATATGATAAAAAAGAGAATTCACTTTTACTTAAATAAAAACACGTTTTCTTTAATAATAAAGTTTTAAAATTATAACATTATACACCAGAGCAACCAAAAATAATTTCTTTTAAATGTTTCCATAGTTTATTCGTACCGTTGTTCAGAATAATCATTGGGACGTTTAAACTGATTTAACAATACTGTAACACAAAATGCTATAGGTATAGAAAGTTTCCAATTACATTTTATTTTAGAAAGATCATTCTAGAAATAAAAAAATGAGGTTCAGTATGGGGGTCACCGTATTTCAATTCTTAAAGTAAGTTATATGAACTAACCAACCTTTTTGGTTCTCCTATCTACTATATATACATATTTTGGAATATGTGTTTTAGCGTAAAAAATCATTATACCATGGAAGTAATAAAATTAAAAAAAACTTTTCCATTTAGCTCTATATGTTTGTCTATCTCCTATGTGTCTTATTTGAAAATTCTTTATTTGTATGATTTTTACGACACTATTTTGATTATTGAATAATCAAAGTGTTTAATTTTTTTTATTATATGATATGATCTTATGAAGTTAAAATAAGGAAATATTACAGTGCAATGTATCAGATTATAATTGCATCCTGTTGCCTTACTTCCTTACAAGAAATTTTCCTTAAACCCTTTGGAACACTTTATTCAAGATAGCAGCCGTATTGAGACTGCAATCTTGATTATGGTTGTATGAAACAAAGTTTAACATTTCTATACATTGAATTTATATCAAAATAGTGTTTTTAAAAAACACAATGCAAATAAATTATAAATATAAAATATAGAAATATTGTTCATATTTTTTACTTCTGCTCTGATGTCATAAAACACGAGTCAAAATCTCAGTAAAATATATATATTTAAATGTAGGAGAAATGTTTCAACAAATCAACGTGATAACTAATATTACTTAGTATCTAACGCTTGGGATGAAAAAATTATAATTTAGATGAAAATAATTTGAAATACTTAAATTAAAAAAAAAACTTAATCTAAGACTTAAATATGTAATACTTAGATTGTGAGTCATAAAAAAATATTAATTTTTTATGTCAATTAAATACATTCAATAATATTTATGTTTCGCGTAGTATTATGTAAATTATGAAGCTACACCAATATTCTTTAGACCTTGATTAATATTTACGTCTTTTTTTTTAAATTTAATACTTATTTAATTTCAGGGTGTTTCATAAAAAGAGTTCGTTAAAACACAACAGTAATTTTGATTTGATACTCAAATGAAATGAACATTTAACTTAAGTCCACCAGAGTGTTCAGTTTGAAGCTAATTAGGAGATGTTGCGAATAACAGTTTATAAATGGGGTCTAAAATGGGTTCGTAGGGTGAATAATGCATGGAGAAGGTTCGTCGTTGAGACTAAACGTACATTTAAGCAAAGAGGATGAATTAAAAAAGAAACATTATACAATTATTATTTTGATATAATTTAGATCATTGAATCATATTAATTTAAAACTGTTATTAATTGTAAGTATGTATTACACATTAAACGTTAAATAGTCGTGATACTCAAAATATTAAAATAACATAACACAAAATTTTAAGCTACATCCACGAGAGGAAAATGAACGGTCAATAGGAATTACCGTAAAGAAGAAAAGTCATTATAGAAGGTGCCAGAATTTAAAAGGTGAATAAATTTGCCCATATGGAAAGGATGTGTAAAATTAGGATGATGATATTGAAGGGTTATTGGACCTGGTATTAGACTTTCATGCAAGTAAGCATTCCCATAATGTTGAAAAGATCACAATTAGATTTTCAGAATAGAATATTGCTGTGTTGTGCTGCGATTGCGATTTTTACAAATCTTATATGGAATGAAACTGACTTTTGTTAAGGAATTATGAAATGGATATAAATTGGAGGATTCTTAATGACTAAAATAAAGTAAATAGTTTTATTTAAATAGCATTGTATGAAAATGTATCCACAGTTCTATATATGTAAGATAAACACATGTAACAGCAAAGGGTATCCATAATCCATGGATGTCTAACTAGCATAAAAGGTATTATTTATAACAGAAAAAATAAGACTTACAATAAAAAGGATTTCACGCAAAACTAATAACCATAACATATTTTGCAAAACAAAGAGCCGTAAGCTAGAAATATGTTACACAGCGAAAAGTTTTCTATTTAAAAGTTATTAGAATGTTATGCTTCGCTCACGCTTGTGAATCACGCTTAACAAGTAGCTTAAGTAATCTTCACGCCTTTTTGAAAGCGTAAATGGAATAATAATGAAATTTAGGACTCTTCACTTATAATGTAGACTTCTATAATTTTTTTATTATATCTCTTCAAATGTTTCCCCATAAGTATTGAAGTATTATTAAAGCTAAAACCCTAATTTAAAATCTTGTAGAAGAGCAATGAGCAATGAGCTTCCGCTCCTGCTCCTGCCAGCTTTGTTGCAATTTCTTTGTGCCAGCTTTAACAAATTAGTCTTTTCAAGACAAAGATTCCTTTGTCAGCATATTGCTGGTAAAAAGTACCTTTGAATTAAGACACATTTGAATACAATTATAGTACTGAATAGAGGATTGCTTCAGGATAAATTAAATAGTTTCTTTAAGACATGATTATAGTGACATTGAAAATTGGAATGGAAAGTGTGTTTTATTAAATTAATAAATTTATTTCAATGTTAAACTAGAACAAAGAAAGATTTATTAAATTAAAACTATATTGCTATTACACTAACAAAGAGTTAGTAACTTTCAATCATTCTATTTATGTAAATAGAGTCGAGTCGTTTCACTTTAAATAACAATGTACTAAAGTGACAGTGTAGATCCAATTGCGAATTGTAATACATTGTCTTCAGATTTCTTAGAATTCTATTTCGACAAACAAATTTACTATATAAACAAAGATATTAACAACAATCTATTTGAATTGAAATATTAGAATTATTAATTTTTTTATTACGTAAACTCACGTTTTATTTTAATCGTACCTCTTGAAGCTCTGATAAAATTCAGAAAGAGTTATACTATAAGATACTCACTATTATACTCACTCTAAATATCTATTTCCTGGATTTTTTTTTGCATTATATTATATACAGCTACAATGTGATTTAAATTATATACAGCCATAATGTGAAAAAATTCAAACATATTTTACATTTACCTTGTGGGATACTTTCTGCATAATATTTATTTTAAAATATTTCTTTAATCTTAAAACTAAATCTGTTTAATACCAATGCTTTAGAACTATCCTCTCAGTTAGTTGCCTTGTCTTAAATAGAGACAAACTTTCTAACATGCATCAATTCATCCTACAAATACTTAACAATTTCGATATGAGTTTTACAAACGTGCACATGTTCTAATCTGAAAATTTTAATTAAAAGATTCGTTACACTAACACTTACAAAATATAATTTATACGTTTAAAGTTTTAAGATATATCTTTTTATAAAAGTATATTTTAATACATAGTATGTAATGAAATATGTATAATTAAAGCTTTACTTTAACAATTACAACATAACTTTAATGCGAATCTGATGATGTATGGATGTGAACTCCTTTGAGTTCCTGCGGGTAATCCCCAGAAGCCCATCTAACGTCATTAGTACTGTATACGATATCCACTGTCAGTCATCAGTCTCTTGTTATCTAATGTAATGGTCAATTACGGAGTAGACATATGTTACAAAATACAAACGAAACTGTACTCAATTAAGTGAATAAAAATATATGACTAATATAATGAAATATCGGGGACTAATTTAAACACAACAATCCGATTTCTACTTCTTATATTCCCTAATAATTTGATGCCTTAATCCGTTTAATTAATTTAACAAAAAAGAAGAAAATGTAATGATCAGCGCAACGTATTAAGGAATAGCCTAACTTTTCCTTTATTTTAAGTTTACTCGTTTCCCACGTTTAAAATTCGTTTCGTTTGATATCAGTATAGAACTAACGTTATGAAGTTTCTATGTTCTCGATGAACTTTTCATATTACTGAACATTAATTGTTTAATTAGAATAGTTTTAAGTATTTAAATTTAAAGTTGACCATTTTAGAATATGCTTATTTTTCTACATTTAGCTACTTATAAATTGCAATTTAACTTATTATTTACGCTTAAACGTTTAGTAACGACTCAAAATAACTATAGCTTTTATGAAAAACTACCATGAACTAATTTATTAAGTAAGAACATGGCTTTAAATATATTTAAAATAGGAATTTATAAGCACATTCAATCTTTAGTAGACGATTAGTTTCTAGAATCGATAAGCTGACTGTACTTTGTAATTCTACCTTATGAATAGAGATAGCCGAGCCCAATTCAAAGCTATTGGATGTAGCTCGCTGAACTGGTTCAAATATGGAATAATATCTTTTCACCTAAAATCATTATGCTTTGACCACGTTTAGTTCGATTAGCAAAATATACGTTGGTTAAACACAAATAGGGTCAATGATTGAAAAGGAAATCAAAAACCTTTCCTGTTGGAAGTAAATTACACCAATATTTCTCTTAAATTTCTTGATAAATCAAGACAGTTTCATGTGTTTTTTTTAACAATTTAAAAGTTGATATCTACAATTTTTGTGAACATACATTTTAATAAACTCTAATTTTTATTTCTTCTTCGCGTTACTTATTTCGTCGGTTTAAATACATTAAACAATATGTTGTTTAATTTATTTAAAATTGTAGCATAATTGTGTAAGGTTTTTATAGAGAGGGACAATATACAGCTTGCGTTTTTTTATTTTATTAATTAGCTAAATATGGCAAAACAAAGTCTTACACGAATCTCTTACTTTGGTCATAATTAATAATTCAAACTGGTTGTATTCATGAAGTACATAACTATCAAGTTGGAGAAATCGTTTATAGTAAAAAAAATGTAATTTATAATAAAAATAACCAAAACTAAATTAAACTCTAATATCAAAATGGTGGTCATTAATCAACCATAACGGTGCCAAAAGCTTCGCTAACTTAATATACATAGTTATTTTTTGCCATAAGAATATAAAAAATACGATGCATGACGAACACAAATACACAGGTAAATGTAAATAAATTATTTTAAATGGAAATCAACAAACAGTTAAACTTTTCCTCAGTATACCGCACGGGACCCAAGTATATGTACGAAAGTACATACATACACTATATTTATAACTATCGTATTTCAATATTACAATGTACGTTTCCACCCTATATATGAAGAAACAACTAAAAATATGTACATAACAGTTATTTTATTTCAGTGACTGAGATAAAATAATTTTGAATAAATGAACTGAAAAGTTAAGCAAGAATTTTAAAATTAAGTTACCACCACAAGGATTTCAGTAAATGTTTCTTAAAAGTTCTGAAGGTTTAAACTTTGAATTTACTAACAAAAATTTAATAAGCAGCAAAAACATAATAAATTCAACATTTTCTTTTCTTGATTTTCATATTTCTGCGGTTGTGGTCGAAACTTTTAAATAATTGTGAGCTAAATATTTGGATTGAGAATGCAATAACTTTTATAGGATGAAACATTACTCGGTCCTGGAATGTTTTCAGAACTGCAATGGGCCGTACGGTTACTTTGTATTTTTCGTTTCTGAAGTAACACGGACGTACACATTCTGTTTTATTTTATTATTATTAAGAAAGAAAGCTTAGAAGACGAAGAGAACAGAAGAACAAGTTTACTTTTAATCCCACGACTGGATTAATATTTCTTAAATTCCATTTAACATATTTGTTTGACAAACATTAATCTACAAATACAGACATATGCTATTTTTTTTAATATTTTAAAATTGTTATGAATATTCACTAATAAAATAATATTTTTTAAATCTTGTTTTTACTTTTACATCCTTTTTCTTAGTTCTAAATTTTAATACAAACAATAGTCAAAATAATACGGAACTATAGTCAATGCATTATGTCTAAGATACATGAAACGGAATTAACTAGGAGAGAAAGAGAGATAGATAAAGATTCTCAACCGCATTCTTCTTTTCCCTCACTGTAATATACAAATTTCCATTCTGAACTCCATCTATATCGTCACACCATACATTTCAAGAAAAGAACAAAGCAAAAAAAAATACTTTGCACATACTATCTTTATAACTGTGAAATATTCGGAAAGTATTTTTATATGTAAAGTCATATAAAAAGTTGACCTCTATTTGACCTATTTCTTAAAATTTCTTTTGTGTATCAAAGAAACTTTCAACTTTTACCAATGTTCAGAAGATATCATAGCGCATTACTCATTACTTTGATGTTCTAAGATTTTGACGGTATTCGAAGAAGACAAAAAAAAAAACAAAAGACACGTTGAGGTCAATGCCGGACGAGATCGTTTTCCCGTGATCACAGTTTTTCGAAAGTAGTCCACAAATGGTAACTTGCGAAAGTTTTAGATGTTATTAAGAATAAGTTCTATCTATATTGATATTAAAAAAAATAATAATAATAAAATTATTGGATGGACCCGGCACCCACACGGCGAATCCATGGAATGCTGAGAAGTTTCGTCTCTTAAATACTTACTTTAATTTGAAATAGTAGTTAGGCTCTCCTGTAAATAGCATAGTTTAAAATGTTTAGAACTTCATTAACGCTGTGTTGTTTGAACTTTTTTACACAATGGATAAAATATTTTAATTTTAATTTATGTTGTTAAAAGATAAATTTGGAATCTCAATAAAGTAACCTAAAGAGCAGTTTAAAAAAATTAGAGACAAAACTTTTAATAAAGTTGATTATCCTCCTTGAAGAAAACATTATTTAAATCTTTATTACTAAAGTTACAGGAGAAACCTTTTTTGAAGTTTCGATGAAAGAGAGTGACTTTAATAAAAAGGAAGCCATCTTGCACACTTTGGATAATAGCCTCTGCTTTATTGAGATTTACTTAATGGTCATGGTAACATGGTGTAAGATAAAATTTTAAAGTTACTCGGCTCATGATAGTTATTAGAGGCTATAATTTTATTAACGTGTTCTCAATACAATATTCGATTCTGTCATATTAAATTAAAGCGTTTTTTTTCAAACGTTTTATTTGACAATGGAATTTCCCGGAACGAATAATCGCCTTCTTCAAAGCTTAAAGGGACTTTTGAGTTTTATTACCTCCGGAATTAAAGTGTGGAAAAAAAACAACAGCGATTTACGCTTTATTACTATTGCACTGGAAGTTTTAAATCACTTTCATTACTTGCTTAAATATTTTAATAAAAATGTACTAGTATTTGATCCTTCCATGTTTTTTATTAAAATGCACAAATAACTATTGGCAATATTTATAATTCGTTTTAGCGTTTTATTTGGAAATAATATTACAAATAGGTGTAATAAACATAAATTATATATGCGAACTGAATTAACACAACCAAGGCCACCTATAAAATAATTTTATTTGTTCCGGGCTCATATTTCGTAACTTTTGTTACTCGTGTTCTTTTGGCCCAATTCCAAATAGGGATGAATTCAATAGTTATGAGGATTTTGCAATTATTTGGTATTCTACGAGAGCTGAAAATGTCATAGAAGTTAGTAAAAAAGAGAGAATTTATATATTAGAAAGAAATTCGTTTCTCCTAGTAACCGTTTTTTCTAAAACTGGAGTAACGAGTGTTACACTAACTCAAAGATTAACAGGAATATACTTTCAAGTTAATTAATGCTAGATTGTATATGAGAATATAAATTAAGTTTGAACATTTTGTTACTATATTTCACAGCTTGTAAATGAAATAAAAAAAATAGGATTTATTTATAAATATAACCTCTTTGTTACACAAAATGTATGATAAGTATATGTATATAAAGTCAACAGATCCTTGATTAGTTACAAGAGTCAATTTATTCAACGCTAGTGTAAGTAATAGTCTCAAGTAGACGACAAGTTAATTCTTTAGAGTTTAATGTAAGTCGCTTTAAGTTGCTCGGAAAGTCGTAACTTAAGTCTGTCTGATTTCATTTATAACATTTTGTGCTTCAATTCAAGTAACTGACTAGAGCTTAGTAAGAAATTAGATCTTCGTCACAATAATTATTTCTCGGTTTACTTTTTGTTTCTTTTGATTCAAAATATAAAAATGGTATTGGAATCTACATAATTCCTCCTACAATATTCCTAATCATATTAGAAGGGGAT